CTTTATAACGGGGATCGAATGGTAGATAGTTTATCAGGCACTATTCATTTCTCGATGTGAATTAAATGTCATATGTAAAACAGGAATATGATCGGCTCGAGGCAATTATGCAGCACAGTTATATACTTATGTATTTGACTCAAATGAGTTGTAGGAAACAGTTGCTCATATCGAAACTTGAAAAATGTCTATTTAAGTAATTTCGTAACGCGTTACGCTCATTGTTTCGTAATTCCTTCGCGCTGTCAAGCGATCACCTCGCCGCCAATTAAACGCACCGACAAAAGCCAGAAACATTTCGACCGATCATTCACGCCTCGTCTCTCGTGAATCTTCTGCAGAGATCGGCCTCAATTTCGTTTGCTGGAAATCTTTCCATCCAGACGTAGATTAAAGTCACCAATACGCGTGAATCGCGATGCAAAGAATAATTTGCCCTGGTAAATTCGGCGCCGACTTTCGAAAATCACGCGTCACCCCAAATTACACGGGAAATTTACGCACACCCGAAACTCGATATCAACATCGTGAACCTTAATTAATCGACACTGAAGACGTGTTACATGCTGCTCTTTCCCGTCTCGATCGCCAGACAGCTTAATCTCCCAATCTTTTTTCTCCTTTTCGTGACCACATTTACTTTGGTAATCACTTTGTACGCTCTAATTATTATGAGAATATAATTCTGTAAATAAATACCTTGTAATATTTTCCGTTGATTCGTTACACTATGTCGTAATGCGTTTTCTGTTTCGAAATTATTTATAGTATCAGTGATTCCAGTGGGAAGGATAGAATCGTTAGAAAAAGAAAGTTAGTACTTTTTTATAGAATATTAAAAACTGCATTAATTGGTGCAATGAGAAACATAGGTTTCCATTTTAAAAGAAGTCGTTGCATTTTTTTACGCACCAATGCAAAAACGTATATAAAATGATTTGCATACTACACACCGTCTGATACCATTTAACTTTTATCTGCAACATTTTCTTCTATTTCTAATCGTTTGGGAGATACAGTCTGTTTCAGTTGTGTGGTACACCCTGTATATAGAATAAAATATTGTCAAGCTCTCGGTTCAAGATACAAGTAAATTCCTGAAATTCATTGTGCTCCGAAGAGACAGAGATATGAATAGAGATCGGACATCAGCTTAAAAGTTTTTATTCGTTTGTTGAAATATCGATAACAAATATACATAGAAAATAGAACAACAGTTGATAATTCAGTAAAAAGAAATGTAGGATCGAATGGATCAAGCCGGGTGCCAAGGAGTGCTGCGGGAAAATATGTAAAACCCGTGTTCCAGGCACGTTTACTATACAATGTGTTCTCACTAATTCGGGCATGCGTCTATACACGTACACAATTACAACGCTACGTTACCGATAGGTCAGATAATTAGCAGAAAACCCTTAATATATCCACTGAACGATTAACTGTTGATCCGATTTACACTTGAGAATTCCGAAAACCGATCGGTGCACGTTTCTCCGCCCTATATGACGGACGAGTTTCGTCGCTGGAGTAAAGAAATAAACGGAAAAAGTTCATTATGTTATTGTATAACATGTATATATGTATAAATACGCCGTGTATCCGTAAATAATACTAATAGTACAATGTTAAAGTTCGCTATCCTTGTACTGGTTGAATCTACCAAGTCTTTTTTTATTTACTTTATCGTTCATGTTAAATAGAAACTCACGCGTGAAGAAGATTCGTAATTATGAGCAAGTGTACATGCATATAATACAGTTTTCAGTTAGACTTACTGTTCTAACGGAGATTCTGAAGTAAATCAAAGAGTAACGGTTATTTAGAATGGTAATTGAACATCAACGATCAATGAACACTTAGAAAACCGCACTTAGGATTAGTTCTCTTCATCTTCTTTTCATGAATAGCAGTCTTGTGTTTGAAAATATAAACATATTATTAACGATGAAGACTGGTACATTCTATGAACTTATGAACGTTTCCATTGTTTTCATTTATTTTTCATTTTAAAGTGAAGAAATTATTAATATTGGAGAAAAGCCGTTAGAAATGTACGGTCTTTTAAGTGCTACAAGTATTGATGTAGTCAGCTCGGCATAAAGTTTCCGAGCTAACATTGAAACAGCAATTTTTCGTAAGACAATAATAATTTTTATTACTAATTACTAATCGTACGTGTTTACAAATATTCCATCTCTTTTCCATTAGTTATTCTTTGTTTTCATTTAATCGAAAGCGTAAAGTGGTTTGAATGAATGAATCATTTATATGACAGATTTTAGAAGTTCAGACCACGGAAGCTCAGCGGGGGTCCAGTAAATCGATTGTTCAATGAAATTTCGTTATCAGAAATGAAATTACATTGTAATTGTAGATATTGGAAATCTGTTATCCAATACTACTTTGAAGACGAAGTGTTAAGACTGTTTTCGTACGATACAATTCTTTTCTTCTACAGTCTTTTTCTATATAATTGACGTTCACGAATACTACTGATTGCGTGGATTTTCGAAAGAAGAAACTTTTCTACATAATTTATAGCAAACTACCTCACAAGAGAGTGCTGTTTGAATATTAGATTGGAAACGTTTAAGGCCAACTATGCTTTCCACAACATTAAAATGGAAGAAAGACTCGACGATATTCAGCTGCCTATGAATTTATCAGAAATCTACTTAACTTACGAATAGAACGAGCCACGTGAAATTAACGTAAGTGAACCGTCTACGGAACAGTAGATTACTCAATTCGATTTTTACACTTTAATTAATCGACTACTTTTCCAACTGTACAAGTGGATGGTTGTATACTGGTGCTCGCGTGCGAAGTAACACGCGTGATACAATGTGAATTCTATTCGACGCATATATAAATATACATATACAAACATTTTCAGCATAACAACATTCAAAGTAACTCTCCATCTTTCTATTGCAAATACAGATTATTGCAACATCCTGTGAACAATAAGAAGTATGTAGGTATTTACTTATATACCACTGGCAATCTAATGAGAAATGATTTGCATTGATTCACGAAGACACCTCTCTACTCGTTACAATTTTCTCCTACCTAATTGTCGCATGTGTATCCTCACTACTGTTGTCAACATTTTTGGACAGAAGACAGACGAAATGTTCGTTTCGTTAAAAATGAATAAAATACGAGAATTTCTTTGTAGTTATCCTTAACATGGAAATTAAAATTTTAGTTATGAAATAAACGATACACGATTAATCAAAATTATGCTGGGAAACGTGAATGTTTTTTCTGTATTTTTACTTATATTGCTACGTGTACATTTGTATTTTATATGTGAATACATAAATATCAATACTAACAAATATATAGAGCCAGAGAATTGCATTATCAACTTCTATTTGAATGTAATTGATAATACACAAAATAGAACTTGTCGTTTCCACATTTTCATATTTTACTAGAGTGCATGAATTTTCCATGGAGATATATTAACATAATTTTGACCGACCCTGTACCTCAGTTAGTACTAATAAAATTTGTTTTGAATCCAAATTTGACCATATCCTTTGCTTCTCTTTTAATTTTCTTTCCTTTTTCTCAGTTTGGATAACGAAATATATTATAAAGGAACGATTTGCCTTAAAGTTAAATCCTGTGGCAAGAAGAATAAATTGAAGGAAATACAATTTAGCGAATTACATCGTTAACTGTGACGCAAGGTTTACATTAATCACGATTTCGCCGACGAAAATAGAATACTTGGACAACGACACATCAATTCTGCTCGTCTCTGCATCTCCTCTACTTTTACATTTTTACATTTGGTTTAAAGTACACTATATGTATACACTAGAACTCTCTCTTTCTCTGTATATATATAATATCCTACAAGTAACGATTTACGTGTAATATATATCAGCTTCATTTAATTGCTTTAAAAGTACACGTTATCGTTACAAATTTGCGCGAATATGTATGTGTATATATAAAAATGTGCAGGGTGAATCAAGAAAGATATAAGTATAAAATATCTTCATTACTTTTAACGAAATGAGAACATTTTTAAGAGCAAAAATATTTATTTTAAAGAGGCAAACATAGCCACTAAGAAAATAGTTTTTAATCATTATTTGTAGAGAATTATACACTGCGTTGTCTTATATATTAAGTATTATATGGACTCCTTTAAGAAAAAAAATTAATTTTTTATATTATATTACTTGTCTTTTCTTTTAAATAAATATTTCCGTGCTTGGAAAATTGTTCATGCCATTAAAAATAACAGAGACAGTTTAAATTCCAATCTTAAGCAACTCAACCTGTATATTACATACGTATGCACATGCATATTCGCGAGTTACACGGATAGAATTGCGACGTGTAGACAAAATTGTATGATATTACGTTAGAGCTATAATTTCATATACACAAAAGCAGTGTATATACATAAATAGAGTGAAAAGAATCATTCCCACTTCGCGGTGCTAAAAAATAAAGTTAAGTTACCGTATAGTAGAATTCGCGTAAATTATCCGTAA